TAGTAAGAGTATAAGCAGTAAACCGAAAAATTAGGGTTTGAAGATGTTATTGAAGGAGTATAATACAATGAAATAAATTTGAAAAGAGAAAAAGGATAGGGACATAAGGAATCCAGAGAATTAGAATGTGGTAGAACACAAACAGTGGATGCACCTTTGCCATTGCAAACGATTTTGAGCCATGTCATTCAAGGTCTCTAACCATCGGTTGTTATCATCTCGCAGATCCCAACCAGGTAGTCTATACCTACCAACATGGCTCAGTCCACTTGTCAGCGACTTCATGGATTTGTGCCACGTTTTGGTCTGGTCGCCCCTAGAATTCTTCCAACCTACTTCTACACCATAAAGCATTGCACGTCGGTGGTTGGACATACGTAACACATGTCCCAGCCATCTCAACTGGTGAAGTTTCACTACTTCATCAATCGATTTGCCATCCTTACCTAGTACCCGTTTCCTAACATCTGCATTACTTACCCGATGGTCTCAGGATATACGAGCAATACCTCGAAGACACCTATGATCGAACACTAGTAGCCTACGAATATCCTCTACTCTTATCGGCCATGTTTCACTGCCATAAAGTAGGACGGAACGGACTGCTGCACAGTAAACCCGTCCTTTTGTTGCTAGACGGATATCTCGCCTACGCCATAAATGGCGCAAGTTGGCAAAAGCTAGATGAGCCTTCTGTATCCGTGCTGAGATTTCGTCACATACCAGACCACAAGGGCTGATGAGACTCCCAAGATAAGTGAAGTGGTCTACACGCTCAACTACTTCACTCCCTATCATTAGTTCAGGTGTCGATGCAACCCAATCCTGAAGTAACATTTTGCACTTCGAGGGAGAGAATCGCATCCCGAACATGCCTGCATAGTTGGTTATAGTGGTCAGAAGACTCTGCATTTTGTCAGAGTCTTCACCGAATAAAACTATGTCGTCAGCGTATTCTAAGTCAATAAGTGAGCCTCCTGGTAAAAGTTCAACTCCAGGAGATTGAGATGATGAAAGTGCTATCTCTAAAAGCATGTCAACGACAAAGTTAAACAAGAATGGGGAGAGTGGACAGCCCTGACGAACACCACTTGAGGTAACCAATTCTGATGACAGTTCGCCATAGGCTCTAACTCGACCAGTTGTGTTCGAGTAGAGAGCCTTTATGAGGTTAGTGTACTTCTTTGGTACTCCTTTCACTGACAAACACTGCCATAGAACCTCACGATCAACGTAGTCAAATGCCGCTTAAGGTCAAAATACTACTATTGTGGGACGTCTGAATGTATGTCTACGTTCTAGGACCTGACGTCGAGTGAATATCTGGTCTATGCAACCACGTCCAGGTCGAAAACCAGCCTGGTTTTCTCTAGTCTGCTCTTCATGAGCTTTGGTTAGGCGTCCAAGTATTATTGAAGCTAATATTTTAGACACTATATTAGTCAAACTGATTCCTCTGTGATTGTCACAGGAGGACTTTTGTCCTTTCTTATAGACTGGCACAATCAGTGATTGGGACCTTACTTACTTACTTACTTACGCCTGTTACCCCTTGTGGAGGAGCATAGGCCGCTCACCAGCATTCTCCATCCAACTCTGTCCTGAGCCTTCCTTTCCAGTTGCTATTCATCCTTTTCATATCGGCTTCTATTTCCCGGCGCAATGTGTTCTTTGACCTTCCTCTCTTCCGCTTCCCTTCCGGATTCCAAGTTAGGGATTGAGTCGTGATGCACATTGGTGATTTCCTCAATGTATGTCCGATCCACTTCCAACGTCTTTTCCTAATTTCCTCTTCAGCTGGAAGCTGATTTGTCCTCTCCCATAAAACGCTGTTGCTGATAGTATCCGGCCAGTGGATGTTGAGTATTTTGCGTAGACAATTGTTTATAAATACTTGTACCTTCCTGATGATGGTCGTAGTAGTTCCCCACGTTTCAGCTCCGTACAGTAGGACTGTCTTGACGTTCGTATTAAAGATTCTGACCTTGAAATTGGTTGACAGTTGTTTTGAGTTCCATATGTTCTTCAATTGTAGAAATGCTGCCCTTGCTTTGCCAATCCTCGCCTTTACATGTGCATCCGATCCCCCTTGTTTATCAACGATGCTCCCCATGTACGTGAATGTTTCCACCTCTTTCAGAGTTTCGCCATCAAATGTGATTGGGTTGGTGTTCTCCGTGTTGCATTTGAGAATCTTGCTTTTTCCTTTGTGAATGTGGAGGCTTATCGATGCGGAGGCTGCTGCTACATTTGCTGTCTTCATCTGCATTTGTTCGTGTGTATGAGAGAGGAGGGCTAGATCATCTGCGAAGTCCAAATCATCTAATTGATTCTGAGCTGTCCATTGTATTCCGTATTTCCCTTCAGATATCGAATTCTTCATAATCCAGTCAATCACTAGAAGGAAGAGGAATGGGGAGAGTAGACATCCTTGTCTGACTCCGTTCCTTACTGGAAATGCATCTGTCAGCTGTCCTCCATGCATGACTTTGCACTGTAGTCCATCGTATGAGTTTTGGATAATGTTGACAATCTTTTCAGGAACTCCATAGTGTCGAAGAAGTTTCCATAATGTTCTCCTGTCCACGCTGTCAAACGCCTTCTCATAGTCAATGAAGTTGACGTATAGTGGTGAGTTCCACTCAACTGATTGTTCAACGATTGGGACCAGTCAGATGGAACTACGTCCAGTTCCCAGATTCTACCTAAGACCTCAGTCAATCTCGTTGCTAGTACTGGACCACCATCCTTAAAAACCTCAGGGGTAAACTTGTCAGGGCCTGCGGCTCTCCCTCGCTTTACATTTCCTATAGCTTTTTCAACCTCGTAGAGAGTTGGAGGACTTACCTCAATTTGCCATTCAGGACGACTGGGGATCGTGGGTAACTGAAGTGTGGCTGAAGGCCAGTTGAACTGATCCCTAAAATGTTCTGCCCATCGATCCAATCTCCTGGATCGAGAATGAATGATATGCCCGTCTTTGTCTGAGATAGTTTTGCTAATAGTTGGGTTCCTAATGCCGGTTTCTTTAACGAGTCTGAATAGCTGCCTACTGTTACCTATTGCCGCTGCCTTTTCCATCTCTCTTGCTTTCGCTACCCACCACTGTTCACGATCATTGCGTAGGCTTCTTATTAGCCTTCGCTTAAGCTGACTCCGCTCTTCGTTATGTTCAGAGCCAGATGGGATGAGTTTTCGAGGATCTATCAGTGCGGTAGTTGCTGCTGAGATCCATTGTTTCTCCCTAACTTTATGGTTTACCTTACTAGTGGATATCACTGCTGATTCCACAGCTTTTCGGATGTCATTCCGCGCTGCTTCGGGGTAGGCACAACTTACATGTCTGTCTAACTGTTTTTCCAGTTGTTCCTGAAATATATTCTTAGCTTGCTTATCATTAGGTAGAACCCTTAGATGCTTCCCTGCAGTGTCTTTCCTACGTCCAGTAAGTCGCAGACAGATACGTGCTCGCACTAGAGCATGATCTGAATTTAAACATGTGCCCCAGAATGAGCGACAGTCTTCTATCGAGCCCCTCCATCAGTGGCTGATAGCGATGTGATCTAATTGGGTCCAACGTTGGGACGAATTCGGGGGTCGCCATGTCAAAAGATGTTTTTCCTTATGCTTAAAGCTAGTATTTGCAAGAAATAGGTGGTCATCTGAGCACAGCTACAACAGACGGTCGCCATTATCTGTTCTTTCCGCCATGACACCATAAGATCCTCCCAGGTGTCTTTCCTTTTCACTTAGTTTACCTACTTGAGCATTAAAGTCACCAGCCACTATTACTACATCAGAACGCCTAGCTTTTCGGAGAAGGTCAGAAAGTTTCCTGTAAAACTCATCTTTTATATCGTTTGAGCTACAGTCAGTGGGAGAGTAGGCAGAGATGACGGAGAGACAACGACGAGTTTCCCTATCTTTCCGAGTCCTTACTGACCCGTTTAGTCGGACAGCGAATAGACGACTGTCTACTGGGATCCAGTCTAAAAGAGCTAGTTTTGCCCTAGGACTTAATGCTATACCTACTCCAGCGAGACCACGGGAAGCAGCATCAGGGCTTCCAGATACACGAAGCGTGTATCGAGATGAAACTTTATTTTGATTAGGTGCGGTCAAATGAATGACACTATTCGGATCTTGTATGCGCGTTTCGGAGACGCAGCACACATCGATGGTGTAAGATTCTAGAGTCCTAGCTAAGGAAGCCTGTTGTCCTATTTGGCACAATGTTCGGACATTAAAAGTTCCTATATGTAGTTTAGAGCGTGGTTTCAGGAGACCAGGAATAACGTTCTGTGTACTCGAATCGTTTGCCCTAGCGGTGCGAGGTGATAAAAGGACGTGGGAAGGGTTAGTCGTGGAGATAACAGAGTTATTAGGTGTAGGAAGGATTTGAAAGCGACCAACTTGGTCTTGTGTGCAGTTAAGGGTATGAGGGCTAGTATCACTTCCCGGCTGCCCACACAGTGGAAAAGTATTTCTTGAGGGATCTGAAAAAGAAGTTGGATTAGTGTTGGTCTGAACGACCTGGGAGCGTGACCGCAGTGCCCACGGGACAACTGCTTGAGGCCGGTTACGCACGGCCTTTTTGTGGGGGATTTTTGAAGTGTTAGCTCCGTTCTTCAAAGGACCTTACAGCCGGAGACAGAAATCCGTGGGATAGGGCGAGGTGTGCATTTTTAGGGTCGACCTTTTCTAACCCCACTCCTCCTTGTGAGAAGGCAGCATCGCTGTCATGCTGGTTGTCTGAAGGAAACACCTTACTGACGTCACACCTCTGTACAGTCGGCAGTACGACTTCGCCTTCGGACCATGGGATTGCTGCTTTTAATCTCACCGCTCTTCAACCGACCTGTCTGGTATGGTAGGACCTCGAGGAACGATTGTTCCAGCCAGCATAGCTCGATTGCTTCATCACGATAGGCAAGCCCGACCACCACGTCAAGGTAGCAGCAACGGTCGAGCCAAGATCAGTAATAATAATAAATAATTAATTTACGTTATATGGAGAACTTTACTTCGAAATACTAGGAACTATCATACACTTCAAGAAGTGAGTTAAATAATTACAAACGTAACATTCTGAAAAAGCAGAACGTTTAATTTTTTGTGAACTAATAATGTGAGGGTGGAAGCGAAGAAAAACCCAAAGATTTGATTGAAAAAACGGTATATGATAATTGGAGGTTTTTTACTATGCAATACATAAAATTAATCTCGCAAAAACAAGACTACACATAATTTGGTTATTGTTTTTAGGGAAACTATCCATTAATAAAGGACCCAGGAAAGCATAGTGGTAAATATTGTTCGAAGTACACTTTTAATTTAAACACTAAAACAAGATCACTAAGAACATTTTATACATCTATTTTTCCTCTGCTAATTTCGTACGAACAAGTTCTTGAATATCACTGAACACCTGATTAACATCTTTGTTTGCGTTTATTCGATGTAGTTTATTTTGAGACTCATAGAAATGTAAAATAGGTGCTACATTTTTATCATACTCATACAAGCGCTTTTTCAAAGCTTCAGGTTTGTCATCAGAGCGGTGGACGAGGCGATCACCAGTAATCTAGAAAAGATACAAAGCAGCAAAAAATTATTTGGATTGTTAAGAAAAGAGAAACAACTAATGTACACAATCAGGTAATGAATTGAGTATACATTTTTGTTAAGTATGCCAGCTTAAACAATTTTTCAACTTTGAGCGTTTACGGCTCCAGTAAAACAATAAAAATATCCTGATTAATATGATCAAAATAGGTCTCAAAAAAAACTTACAAAATCAAAATCATAGGTTAAAATAAAATGAATTATTTCTATGGAGCACTGACTTCTTGGTCTTATCTCAGTGCGGTAACATGTTTCCCGTGTTCAGTTCAATAACGAAACTCAATAATGAATAAATCCACATTAAAAAAACTAATTCACTTTTACTAACAATTTAATGTCAGTGTAAGTTTTTTAGATCAATGACAAAAAACAATGCAGCATAACTTTGTGCAATCTTATCTGGATTCATTAGGGTCTTTTACCTTAATACATAAGATGAAGCGTAAAAAATTGTCTTGGGAGTAAAGAAAAACGTGCACCTTCCTGTAGTGACGCTTGTATGGTGTAACCCAGTTCCACGAACTAATGAGGGGACTTTTGTGGAGATCGGGCTAATCTCTATTCTACTCAAACCACTGATTAGGAAACACTTAAAGAAACTGAACGTAACTACTAAGGCTGAAGATGGTAGCCAAGCTGATGAGGAGAAGCCATCCACATCCAACACCATACATAAACTTTGTCGATCTACAAAGCGACAAAAAAATATGGAGCGCCCAAAAAATTCAAACTTGGCTTATGGGATGTGTCCAGGACTGCGAGATACGTTAAGTAGTGACCTAACTAGCTGAAAAGAAATACCACATACCGTTACTGAAAAGAACGAGAACAACATCTACGACATTAGAAACAAAAAGTGAAGAGATATTTTACATCAGCAATCTTGTGATAAGAGATAACGAAACACCGAATTTGGAGTTTTAGTCAGTAAACAAGAAAGTATAAACATAAAGAATTACATGGATATTGAAGGTACAACTGCTACAGATGAAGTTAGTGATACAGACAATATAAATATAGTGGACTGCTACGACTCAAGCAAAACGTTTAAAGATGAGAGTGAGAAAGAACGTATAGCAACACTCCTACGATTAATTTCGATTATGGTTAATTTTGCCAAGCCCTTTTACTAACTTATTTAATAGACAATGTTATTCGGACAGTAAAAATTAGTCTATTTCTTTGTACTATTATGATCACTATCATATCTGCATAATTATGTACGCGCGATTCTCTCCCTCGAAGTGCAAAATGTTACTTCAGGATTGGGTTGCATCGACACCTGAACTAATGATAGGGAGTGAAGTAGTTGAGCGTGTAGACCACTTCACTTATCTTGGGAGTCTCATCAGCCCTTGTGGTCTGGTATGTGACGAAATCTCAGCACGGATACAGAAGGCTCATCTAGCTTTTGCCAACTTGCGCCATTTATGGCGTAGGCGAGATATCCGTCTAGCAACAAAAGGACGGGTTTACTGTGCAGCAGTCCGTTCCGTCCTACTTTATGGCAGTGAAACATGGCCGATAAGAGTAGAGGATATTCGTAGGCTACTAGTGTTCGATCATAGGTGTCTTCGAGGTATTGCTCGTATATCCTGAGACCATCGGGTAAGTAATGCAGATGTTAGGAAACGGGTACTAGGTAAGGATGGCAAATCGATTGATGAAGTAGTGAAACTTCACCAGTTGAGATGGCTGGGACATGTGTTACGTATGTCCAACCACCGACGTGCAATGCTTTATGGTGTAGAAGTAGGTTGGAAGAATTCTAGGGGCGACCAGACCAAAACGTGGCACAAATCCATGAAGTCGCTGACAAGTGGACTGAGCCATGTTGGTAGGTATAGACTACCTGGTTGGGATCTGCGAGATGATAACAACCGATGGTTAGAGACCTTGAATGACATGGCTCAAAATCGTTTGCAATGGCAAAGGTGCATCCACTGTTTGTGTTCTACCACATTCTAATTCTCTGGATTCCTTATGTCCCTATCCTTTTTCTCTTTTCAAATTTATTTCATTGTATTATACTCCTTCAATAACATCTTCAAACCCTAATCTTTCGGTTTACTGCTTATACTCTTACTACTTCTACCATTATGGGATTTGAATCGACAACTGCATCTCTGTGCTAATGTGGTATGGCAGCTCGAACTGATGTACGTACGTACGAAGTTCTACGCTGTGACTGACTGACTGACCGACCGACGATGTACGCTTGATCACATGTGATAGCCTACACACATATCTCTCTAGCTTAAATGTTAATCACTTAAATATTGCTCGGTGAATTATCCACTTTCCCATGTATATATGTACTCGAATCCTATTTAATAGCCTTTGCCTTGCCTCGCTGCACATCGACTCGATCTGACTATAAATTTGCCTCTGTATTCGCTCGCTCGCTCGCATATATCAGCCTATCTGCTCCAAATTCGCTCGTTGTGCTTGTAACGTTGTTATCTGCTCTATCCGCTAACAAACTGTAGTCGCTGCTTTTTATCACCTTCTGATTTCAAACACCGTTCGGGTTTATATAACAACGGTTATCAAGTTGATTGACTGACGAAGCTAAGCCACTGCAAATGCTTCTATGATAGCCTAAGCAAAATCTTAAAACAATTAGGTTTCCTAGATGAATTCAACTCTCAGTTAAGCTCAGATTTGCATAAAAGATTCCTAAAAAAACCCAGGGAAGTCAACAGACTCGGAAGCGGAAACCTTACCAAATGAAATGAGGCTAGTAGGTTGCTACGAAACAAAAACAAGAATTTCCAAAACTTATGTGACGAAAAATGACGTACGAAAGAATACCTGAATAAATCCATGGACCCTAAATGGTCGAATGATTACCTAATACCAGCAGAAAGAATAACGGACTTCTTAATATGCGATGACCATACAAGTAAATCCGCCGATGCAAATTTTAACCACTATCTAGTAACACTGGTGTATGCTACTTGTGTCCACAGACATAAGTAGTATTAACACTAGAAGTGGGAAAACTGACAGCAGAAGGCTAAGAAGATCAGGTTGAACAGAATAGAGGGGAGAATAAAAAGGGATTGTGAACTTGTGTAATCATACAGAATTTGAAGGACATATGATGGAAATTTCCTAATGAGTTATTCAGTGTATGGTTCTTATGTTTGTCTTCGACGACATGTTTATTTATTTAAACAAATAAATATTGGTACAAGGAAGCACCAGATACATATGCGCCATACAAATCTCATTCGATTCGCTTGAGGGCTGTGATACTGCCCAGGTGCCCAAACTGAAGCAGATGGTTTTCTTAGGGGCCCACACCCGGAGCCTTTGACCGAAAGATCTGATCCACAAGGCAGTGGAGCATCGTGAGTAGATACAGTCCCATGGTAGCCGGTGATCAACGATTGATTCGTACGCCATTTGTTCCCTCAGGATATTGAAGCCCATGTGCACCAATGGTTTGGAATCAGGGTTTTCCAACTCCCGTGGGTGGACTCGCCTTTTCCACCAACCCGGTTAAAGCGCCGGACATTCGCTTTTCGTCCTCTCAATTTCGTAAACAACACCCACGCCACGAGAAGGCAGTGAGTAGGACTTCCCTGGCAGAGGCTATATATTCGCTGGCCATGTGAGAGCATTTCGAGGGAGAGCGGACTCTCCCCACTCTCGGCCGTATCAGGGCATTTGGGGGCGGTTCTTATGTTTAGCCAAGATACCCTGTAATTTTGTATTAGAATACGTTGGTTGTCCCCACCCATGTTCTCGTTCGCTACAACACTAATAGCTAAGATGCTGAATTCTAATAATTCGAAGCATGAAACATACCACACAAAACGAAATACAGTAAACAAAACTAGACGCATGAACTGAAGTAGTTGAGACAGCTCTGACCTAGCTCAGACAGAAACCACTATCCTTAATGTTGTAAAAAGCGTCTTCAGACAAATCCCTGGTAAAGCAATTAACAAAAAAGTGACAAGAGAAAGTAAATAGACTTTTTAAACAGATAAAAAACCAAAAGAGAGCTAAAGAAAGGACTAAATAATCTAAACTTATCAAAATAGATTTAAAAATTCCAATATTGTGAATTAGAACAACACATATAAGAAAACAATACTGTTTTAGACTAGATCCTCACCAGACTTTAATATACAGTAATATTTATATGGTTGTATAAAATTATCAAACTTCTTACTTATTGTGTTTGTTCATGTAATCTATTCCACTCTTATCACCGACTCATAAACTGCCTTAGTTGGTTTAATAATTCGTATATGCATATAAATATTACTGTATAACGGAGTAAAGCCTGATGAGGATTTAGTTGAAAACAATATTGTTCGCTTACATATGTTGTTCTGATCAAAGTAAACGTAACTACGCCCACAAAAACAGAGAAGTTACCAATAAGATTGGAAAAGCCAAAAAAGAACTCATACCTAAACCGAATCATTAATACTCAACAGGGTAAAACAAAGCCAAAAGATCAATGATATCACTCCAAATGATCACTATCAAGGACTTTAATGGAAGTGAAGTGAGCCTAACTGAAAACAGAACTTATAATGAAACTGGGCCCGAACCTCTAAACACCTATGAAAAGCTATATAAAAGAGTATGGAAAATAAAAAATAAAGTCTTCAGATAATAATCGTATAACAATAGAAATGAATAAGTATTATGTAAACAAACCGAAGTATACACTACTAAGTATAATGAACATGCTTCGATCAAACCCAGATAAAATACCAAGATACTGTGTAGATTAAGATGTAACTAGCGTCTACACGAACAAGTGGACAAAAACAGATCCTAATAACGAATGAAGTATATTCCTAATAGACACCATAGGGAAAATATTCGTTGGGATTATTTTTGAACGACCAAACAAAATTATAATATACCGTCTAAGCGATTCAACTTTAGAAATAACTTATCCACGGTGGTGGCAGCAGAGTCAATGAGATATTTCACACAAAATGACCTGGATACCAACCAAGAACTAGTACCAACGTTTTCGATCTAATTAAAGCATTCGACACCATCTAAAAAACTAATTCAAAACACTTTAAATAAAAAGTGTTTCCAGTTAAACATAAACCAATGCATAATAAGATCTTTTAATCATCCGAAAGGTCGTTTAGGAGGAACTATCTCATATTTCATGACGTATAGAGGAGTAAAGCAAGGTAGTAAGGATAGTCAACCACTCTAACATTGTCTTTCAATAAAATCCTAAGCTCCCTTAAAGGACAAAATACCAGAGGTCTAAAAACCCAAATTATAAGCTATGGAATATTATATATTGCATATTCAGATTATCTATGCCTAATCCCAACCTTAGCTAACGAGACAAGAACAATGAACTCGTTACAAAACTTCCTTAGTCAACTTGGTATGAAAATTTCCCACGAAAAGACGGCAACCATGATTATAAACAAACAAAACAATAACTCACCAGTCATCATAGGTGATAGCACGATAAAGGAGGCAAACTCTCTTAAGTACCTGGGATCGATAGTTCGAAGCGGTCACCCTAGTGACACGAATAATATCAACCTGATAAAAGCTAAACATACCACAATAAAAATAAGTCCAGTATAGCGAGCTAATGGTATAAGTCTGTATACTGAAACAAAACTTGTAGAATCCGCAATTTTACCAATCTTAAAACATGGACTGGAGACAATAGTCCTTAAAAAAAAGACTGAATGAGATAATAAACAGTCCCAAATACTATCAAACATATGATGTTGGGTACAAACGATCTCCAGCACATCTCAATAACATTACACAAGAAAGTCTGACTATTAAACTTGGCCACTAAAATACAACAGAATAGATTGAATGAGTGGTTTGTAAAGCACAAAAGGCAAAGATATAGTATTTAGATAATCCAATAAAAAGACGAGGCTTTTTAAACTGTGTGATATATCCCAATGCATTTTGAATGGTCAGATCATTTTACATATCCGTCCACATGAAAACAAATGCAAACACGACGGGTGGGGGTCCGGTTTGATAAGACGAAAATGCTTTCAGTAAGAGAAAAAAAGACCTTTAAAGAGCTTCAAACTAAGTCGGTGGCGTAATTTGCCCAAAGATTAGGAGTCGAAAGACATTAACACATCAGATAACGAACCTTAACGAGGACAACTTAAAAAAAAGTCCAAGCCAGTCAGTCTCAATACAGAACTCGGTATTGATTCTGGTTGCCATACTCTATTGGCACAGCGGGATGAAATCGTTAGGGCGAAATACAGTAGTAGAAAGAATATTAATGATAATAGAAAATATTGGCGATCGAAGTAACGATCAAGAAAATGTAAACCAGTGAAGCAAAAGCTCGGGAAAATCAGAAGCAATGAACCCAGGGGAGACAAAAGAAAGTAGAGTTTGAATAAAGTAGTTCCTTATCTACTTGATTACTTCGAAATACACGTATAGCGCGTGCACTCGAGCCTGAAATAATAGCTCGATTGTCTACATCAAAAGGTTTACACATCTATGTACCTAAAAAAATACTCATTGGGCTCGATAAGTAGACATTTATATTAATAAAAAAATCCAACTTACGTCATCTACCATGGGGACTTTCGGGGGATTGAACAACTCATGATATGACCTACCACTAGCTAAGTGGAATAATCTGCCACAAATCCTTTTTTCTAAGATGGAAGGATCAAGCTTGAATTCCAAAGCAGCCAACAGATGAATCTGACGATCTCTAAGAAGGTTATCAAGCTGCAGTTTTCATATGCAACCTCATGAACATACTTTCTTAGCTTGCTCAATTGTGCGTGGAAACCCGTCGAATAGAAGTCCATTTTTACATTCAGGAGAATTGATTTTTTGTGCGATTAGGTCACAAACTATGTCGTCTGAAACAAGTCCTCCTGATTCCGTAATTTTCTGTACTTTTTGGCCAAGTTCTGACCCTGATGCTATGATTGCTCTAAGAATGTCTCCTACAGAAATTTTCAAAAAAACGAAATGCATACCAGTAGATAAATGGCAGATGTTATAACGTTCAGCTATTTTGACTGCCTACAAAACCGTACATATAGATTCATATGGATTTACCTGAGTCCCTTTTCCACTACCTGGTGGGCCAATTAGAACTAAATCAATACGTTTCCCTTCACCGAACCGCCACCTTCTATACCAACTAGCGAAATCATACAACATCGAGCCGAAGGAGATGCAAAACGACTACGAGTAGAAAACGAACGACTTAGCCTCCTTCCCGTCCTTAGTGACCTTGAGTGATTAGGGTGACAACGGCAGTTTTAAATACTTGAAGCGAGGTGGAAGCATATCGTACGTTCTAATGTAAACATAGCACACCAAACAGTTCATTTTTCTGCTTCCTAAATAGTCAGCGAAGGCGTTTTTAGGGGTAATTTGCAAAATATTTTACAACTAAGCCTAATAATTTGCATTATTCGCTAGTTTTTCTTGTTGTGTATTTGGTTGAGCTTTAAAGATGTATTCCATCAAACTAATTAAATTTTTCATGCACGTTAAACCGAATCATCCACCAATGTAGATTAACTTTAACTAAATATACTGAATATAGTGTAGCTGTAAACAATTCCCCAAAATCAATAGCTTTCTAAGTGTTCGACATTGGCTGCTGACCACATTGTTTAAGTGGACTTGTTTAACTGAAGGCTTTCTGTCACGCATCCGTACCAGATCACGTTTCAACTCAGCGTCGGACACTGCTCCTACGTTCACTAGCCATCTTAGAATAAACGCTTCGTGATATATTGATAACGTATCAAATATGTCTTTCCTACCACTTCTCGTCTGACTTCTGATTTCCATTGGTCGGGAAAGAGCTTCGCTTATAGAAGGTGCTACTGGTAGCAGGTTGTAAAATCAGAATACTAGTCGTATCTTCAGTGGTGAGCCCGACGTGATCTGGTACACCAAGCCAATAAACCGTGAGTTTGTTCCTTTTTGGAATATCATTATTCATTCTAATTCTTCATTTGATTTTTATATATTGTGATATACTTTTTTTCTCGAGTTTTTCCGGATATATTTTAATTAAATATTTAACGTTCTTAATATTACTATGACGGAACAGTCACCTAAAGTATTTAAGTTAAGTACTACTCCGCCGTCATCGATTCAATTGACTCCCTTCTGGCCTGATCATATCGAGTCCTGGTTCTGCTACACAGAAGCCGACTTTGACGACCACTGCATTACAGACTCACGCTCACGATTCCTCGCGGTAGTTAAGGCGTTACTGCGCGAATTTAACAGGTACGTAACACCTAGTATGTTTACCAGTGATGTTCCGGAAACTTACGAAACTCTCAAACGGTCGACTCTAAAACGCACAGACCTATATGATCGACAACGGTTAGACCAAATCCTTAACAATATCGACCTTCAACATGGTTCCGCGACGGACATGTTGTTAAGGATGAGAGAAGTCATAGGTCAACGAACGCTCGACAATGGCCTATTCAAAGAACTTTTCTTATCCAAACTCCCAAAACAGGTGCAGACCCTTCTCGTCTCGTTCCAAAACAACGTCGTAGACGAACTAGCCACATCTGCCGATGGAATATTAGAAATAACGAAATCGACTGGCGCTGAGGTTTTTTCCATCAAGGAAAAGCCTCAATCGACCCCGACTGACATAGCCGAACTATGTCACACGCTTATACGATATCTTAGAGTTCGTAATAACCGTAGTCGGTCAAAAATCCCACGTAGAAGTGTCTCACGTAGGTGATCTGTCTCTCGACCACGAGAGACAGGCAATCCCGACTGGTGCTGGTATCATAACCAGTATGGTAAGTCTTCCATGAATTGCAGGGAACCCTGCAATTATCCGAACTCCAAATCCGCTGACTCGAAAAGGTATTCGGGAAACTTCCAAGCCGGCATGCGTTAACGGCAACCGTAGCCGGGGAACACAGCCGTATGTTATACTTCACGGATGTGACCACGAAAGTTCGCTACCTCGTCGACACCGGCGCAGAAGTTAACGTTCTTCTCGCGAACTCTAGCGACAGACTTCATGAGTCTGTTTTAAGTTTGCAGTCGGCAAACGGAAAACCGATCGCTACTTACGGTAAAAGGTACGTCTACCTTAACGTGGGTTTACGCAAACCCATACACTGGATTTTCGTGGTCGCAGATGTCTCTATGCCAATCATTGGTATAGATCTGTTACAATACCACAATCTACTAACCGACACACGCTCACGAAAGTTAATAGACGGAAACACTAAGTTATCTGTTCGTGTAACTCCTTGTTCTGGTTGCAGGTTATCCCCAGTCACGATTAAGCACGCCATAGACCCCTTGTACCAAGCAGTACTCAACAAATACTCCGGGATATACCAATCGCAATCGAAATTGCCTTGTGTAACCAGCAATGTTACACATCACATCTCGATTACAGGACCACCTGTATTCTCGAAAGCCTGTCGACTCGCTCCCGAAAATCTTAGGTTAGCCAAAAACGAATTCTACCATATGATAGACTTAGGGATAATTCGACCATCAAGTAGTCCATGGTCATCCCCATTACACATGGTCCCTAAAAAAGACAGCGAAGATTGGCGGCCAACTGGTGATTATCGGCATCTGAATGCTAATACCATTCCCGATAGTTACCCGTTGCCTCATATTCACGATTTGACAGCTACCTTGAAAGGTACAACTGTCTTTTCAAAAATCGACTTCGTTAAGGCTTATAACCAAATACAGATGGCACCTGACGACATTCCTAAAACCGCCATCATCACTCCTCTCAGTCTTTACGAATTTTTACGAATGCCTTTTGTTTTAAGAAATGCGGCTCAAACCTTCCAAAGGTTTATAGACGACGTCTTCCGAGGTCTCAACTTCGTACATGCGTATGTTGATGACTGCCTCATAGCAAGTCTAGACAGAGAATCACATCTCAAGCATCTGGACATTGTATTCGATCGACTCTAAAAGCATGGCATTACTGTCAACATTCAGAAATGCCAAATCGGGACAAACTCCTTAAACTTCCTAGGACACACCATTGATGCTTAAGGCATCCAACCCCTTAGGAGCAAAGTGGCGGTCATTCTGGATTACCCAGAACCGACCACGATCAAGCACTTACGAACTTTCAACGGACTTGTAAGTTTCTATAGACGGTTCATACCCAAATGCGCATCCCTTATGAAACCGTTAACGGATCAGCTTCGTGGAAATGCGAAATCAATTAGTCTAGACGACATAGCCCGTAAATCATTTTCCACAGTTAAGGAACACATCGCTAAAGCAACCTTGCTTGCTCATCAGGACACTCAAGCGCCCATTAGTATCGCCGTAGACGCATCCGACTCAGCAATCGCAGTAGTCTTACAACAATAGGTTAACCACTCTTGGCAACCTTTAGGATTTTTCTCGAGACGGTTGCTAGACACGGAATCTAGGTACAGCACGTTCGGTAGTGAACTCCTACCTATGTATTGTGCTGTGCAGCATTTCCAACATTCCATCGAAGGAAGATAATTCACGCTTTTTACCGACCATAAACCTCTTACCTTCTCTTTAAGTTCATCTTCAAACAAGTACTCACCCCGAGAGTCTCGACAACTGGACTACATTTCTCAGTTTTTCAGATATACAACATATTTCTGGAGCAAACAATGTAGTCGCAGACGCCTTGTCTCGAATAAGTTCCTTGAACAGTTTCCAAGGAATCGACATTCTTAAACTCGCTCAGCTTCAAAAAGAAGACATTGATCTTCAGCATGAGTTATCCTCGACAACTCTTAAACTATGTATTAAGCAGATGGGAACAGGTAAGGAAACCTTACTTTGCAACACGTCTACAGGTAAGGATCGTCCAATAGTACCAAAGCATTATCGACGCAACGTCTTCAATGCGTTGCACAATCTTCCTCATCCAGGTGTTCGTGCAACAATCAAGCTTATAGCCGAACGGTTTTGCTGTCCTGGCATGAATAAAGGCGTGGGGGATTGGGCACGCTCCTGTGTAAGCTGTCAGAAATTAAAGGTTATTCGACACAACAAATCTCCCTTAGGTTCTTTCACAACCCCTGATGCTCGTTTCGACCGTGTTCATCTAGATTTGGTGGGACCCTTACCGGATTCCAATGGATACTCATACGTCTTAACATGCACAGACCGTTTTACTCGATGGCCGGAAGCAGTACCTATTAAGGACATTACTGTTGAAACTGTGAATCGCGCTTTCGTTGAACGATGGGTAGCAAAATCCGGCTGCCCTTCAACCATGGCTACAGACCGCGGACGCCAGCTCGAAACTCAACTTTTCCGTTGTCTGACCGCACCATTAGGAATCACTCGCTTCCGAACGACCGCCTACCACCCACAGGCAAACTGGTTGGTAGAACGTCTTCATCGACAACTTCAAGCTTCATTATCAGCTACAAACGTTTCACAGTGGACAGACGCTCTTCCACTCGTCTACTAGGTATCCGCAATGCAGTCGAGACTCACATCGACGACCCCTCGAATCAGCATACGAAGGATCCTTCAAAGTCCTTCAACGTGAACCTAAGTACTATGTAGTCGATAAGAACGACACGAACGATAGCATCAGTATCGATCGGCTAAAAGCAGTGTACTTAAAAGAAAACCCTAGCTAGGTCGAATTTCCTTCGGTACAATCTAACGACACGGCTCCCACACTCGTAGTACCTCACACGACGGCCGACACACACCTTGATACTTCGTCAACGTCGAAAGATAAACTCAAGACAACGCGTTCTGGAAGAAGAGTTAGATTTCCAGAACTTTTAAATGACTATTGCACGTAGGACACAAACTTTATATCGAATTCCATTTGCATTATTTATTATAAAAAAAGAATTAGCTTAATATGCTTATTTCTACATAGTTATTTCGAAAAAAAACAAAACATGTTTATACTTATGAGCTCATTTATATTTTTATATATAGCACTCCCCCATAAAAAAAACCAATATTTTTTTGATCGCTTTTACGCTGTCGCAAGTGTATTAGTTTATTTTTTCCTGCTCATCTTGTGTCCTTATGCAAGTACGAGTGTATTTTCGACATGCACTGACACGTTTTATTTTTCCTCTTTTCCAGGACGGCTGGAAAAGAACGACGAAGATTCGCAAGGAACCGAAATTTTCATTGTACTTTGTTTCCTTATTTCTATATTGTACATTATGGTCTCTTAGTGTAAGGAAAGACGACCGGACGTTGCTAAACGAAGCAAGCTATCAGAAGAGTGTTTACCAACGACAAAATCGTTGGGTTTAAACTTCTGGCTGGTCACGTCTTAGGGGCATCACTACCTCACTAGGCGAGGGGAGTGATCTGTAGCTGTAAATAATTCCCCAAAATCAATAGCTTTCTAAGTGTTCGACATTGGCTGCTGACCACATTGTTTAAGTGGACTTGTTTAACTGAAGGCTTTCTGTCACGCATCCGTACCAGATCACGTTTCAACTCAGCGTC